TCATCAACATACAACAACAAGTACAAATATGAACCATCTGAGAGCTTCCTGTGATACACACAACTGTCAAACTTACTCTTACAGTAGCCATTCCCAACCATAAAGGTGTCAAATTGCTTGTGCCACTGTCTAGGAGACTGTTTTAGCCCATGCAAGGACTTCTTCAGTAGGCAAACATGATCTTCCTTTCCCAGATCTCAAACCCCTCAGGCTGATGCATATAAGTTTGCTATTTCAACTCACCATGCAAGAAAGCAGTCTTGACATCAAGCTGCTCAAGCTCCAAGTCATACAGAGCAACCATAGCAAGTAACACCCGGATTGAGCTATGTTTCACCGCAGGAGAAACCACTTCATTGAAGTCCACCCCTTCCCTCTATGTATAGCCCTTTGCCACTAAGCGTGCCTTGTAACTCACATCTTCCACCCCTGGAATTCCTTCTTTCTTTTTGAAGACCCATTTACAGCCCACAAATTTCTGGCCCTTAGGCTTCTTAACTAGCTTCCAAGTCTGGTTCTTATGAAGAGACTCAATCTCCTCACTCATAGCAACAGACCATTGTACTGACTCTCCACCTGTGATTGCCTCATGACAAGTACACGGCTCATTAATATCGTATGCCACACTAAGTACATAAGCAACTGAATCAACATGTGAAAACCCATACTTCTCAGGTGGCCTAATATCCCTCCTAGGCCTGTCTTTAGCCACACTATATTGCTGCAACTGTGCATCTCCCTCAACCCGAAACTGCACCTGTTTGTGAGTCGACTGAACATGACTATACTCTAACTGAACCTCTACATGCTTTAGCTGCTCAATGACACCCTGAGCTTTCCCTGAATCAACTATCTCCTTCTACGTAGTAACCATCATAGATTCATGAAAGGTCACATCCCTACTAACAAGTATCTTCTTTCCCGAAGCCTCTGGGCACCATAATCTGTACCCCTTTACTCCAAGCTAATAGATAACCAAGAAATATGCATTTCTTAGCCCTCGGTTCAAGCTTCCCCTCATTCATATTAGCATACGCTCGACACCTAAATATTCTCAGATTACTGTAACTAGCAGTATAACCAGACCATACCTCCTCTTCGATAGCAGTTGATGGAGACTGGTTTGCCAAGTAACTAGCTGTAGAAACAGCTTCAACCCAAAACGCTTTGTCTAACCCTGCATTGGACAACATACACCGTGCCTTCTCCAATAGCATTCTGTTCATCTATTCCACAACTCCATTATGCTGTGGAGTCTTCCTCATTGTGTGATGTCTCACAATCCCGTGAGTCTTGCAGAATTCATTAAATTCTCCATCACAAAATTCCAAGCAATTGTCTGTCCTCAGGCGCTTAACCTATTTTCCTGTCTGCTTCTTAATCAAGGTCTTCCACTACTTGAATATAACAAAAGCTTTAACCCAAACTTTTCGAGAAAAGTTATCAATCAGCGTCATCATATATCTACCACCACCATGCGATGTAAACTGAGAGGGACCCCAAAGATCAAAATGAATATAATCCACCGTACCCTTGGTCTTGTGAATTCCTGTACTGAACTTCACTCTGCACTACTTCTCGAAGACGCAATGCTCACAGAAATCCAGCTTCCCAGTTTTCTAATCACTAAGCAAACCCTACTTACTCAGAACATCCATCCCCCCCACTCATATGCCTAAGCCGCATATGTCACAATCTGGCAGTATCTGAATCTAGATCCGTGGACGATACAACAACTGAACCCGTGATTGTGCTACCCTGTAGAGCATATAAACCATGCTTCTTCAGTCCCTTCATCACCACAAGAGCACCCTTGGAAACCCGAATGACTCCACCTCCAGCCTTATAAGTGCACCCGAAGGAATCCAGTGTACCCACGGAAATCAAATTCTTTCTCATTTCTGGTACATGCCTGACATCAGTCAGTGTCCTCACTATGTTGTCATACATCTTGATTCGAACTGTACCGATACCTACAACCTTGCACGCCGCATCATTCCCCATCAGAACTTCCCCTTCATAAATAGATCGATAAGAGGTAAACAAGTCCCTGTTTGGACAAGCATGAAACGAGCGACCCGAATCAGGAATCCGCTTATTGCAAGAGCTGCTGATTGAAATTGTGAGAACATTACCACCATCTGAATCATTACCCCCTGCAACAACCACACTTTCAACTTCAGAGGATTTTACCTTTCCCTTCTTACGCTCCGAAAAATCCTTTTTGAAGTGCCCTTCCTTGTGACAGATGAAACATCTCAACACTTTCGTTTTATTCTACTTAGAATGACCTTTGTTGCCAGACCCTCCCTTCTGATTCATTCTCACGCTAACAAATAACCCCTCTGCTGAACTTTCTTTATTGTCCTCAAATGCCCTTTTTTGCAACTCCTTAGAATTCAGAGTTGTCTTCACTCTTCCATGGACAAAGCAGTTCTGCCATATATCATTGTATCGACAAAGTTCTCATACGAGGGTGGTAGAGAACACAACATAATAATAGCCTGATCTTCATCCTCTATCTTGACATCAATATTATTCAAGTCCATGATGATACTATTTACCTCGTCAAGATGGTCTTTTAGAGACAAACCTTCGTGCATCTAAAGAGTGAACAACCGCTTCTTTTGATACAAGCGATTCGCAAGAGATTTCGTTGTATACCGGGACTCCAACTTCTGCCACAGCCTATCCGCCGTAGTCTCTCCAACAACTTCTCGTAGAACCTCGTTACTCAAGCACAACAAAATTGTACTGTGTGCTTTCTCCATAACATCATCTTTGTCCTTGATATTTTCTGGCAGTGCATCCTTCTCCTTCAACACCTTGGATAACCCTTGTTGAACCAACAAAGCCTGCATCCTAACCCGCCACAGGTTGAAATTGTTTTTGTCGTTAAACTTCTCGATTTCCAGAAACTTGGACGACATCCCTGCTTCGAACTGAAAGCTCTGATACCAATTTGTTATGACAAACGCAATGAATCCAAGTTGAACGAAGAATCACGACAGAAAATTAAACACACCACACAAAGATTTATATGTGGTTCGGCAACAACCTACGTCCACGATTGGGATTCGGCGAAAGTTTTCACTATGTGTAAAATCGGAGATTACAAGTTTTCAGCCCCTCACTCAGTTTCTGTACGAATTTCAGAGTCTCTCTCTTACATCACTCCAAACCCTAAGCGCCCTTATATATTGGGTTACAAGAGACTAATTAGGGTTCACGACCCATGAGCAAAAAACGGGTTAAAATTTTTCCACATAAAGCTCATCCAATGGGTCGTCGGGTCATAAGCGGGTTACAATTCAATTGGAGTAGGTAATGAAATTAATAAATGAGTTTAATACAATACATGACAATCGAAAAAATCATTTCCAAAAGGGACCAATTGATTGATTGGTAGATTGAAAGCGTTCAACGTAAATTTCAATTCAATTTAAGAATCTATCGATTGAACCGATCGGACCCATGTTTTTGGGAACTCCCAAAATAAAACTAAGAAGGTTTCAAACTACATGGATTTTCTAATATGGGGGTTTGGCCAATTTAGGGTTAGATGAAGAAAGGAGAGCATTTCTAAACTTTGATTTTCATGCTGGAGTAAAATACTTGGGTTGGGCTTCATATATGAAAAAGCTTTGAGGGTTTTTGTAGTGGGCTAAATATATATTTTCATAATATGTATGATACATATTTTACAAGCCTTTGAGCGAACATGTTCATAGAGAGTCGAGTAGTGAGGTGTTTGAAAATTTTAGTCTAAAATTTTTATTCAAGCTCAGTTCATTTACAAACAAACACGAACCGAGCTTACGTCGAATCAACCATGTCCATTATGAGCTACATGAATATCATAAATGTTATATTAATCTTCAACATTTGATCAAACACTTGTTCTGGTGAATAAAAAGGATATTAAATTATTCTTAATGGGTTGGGCTTATTAATTCTGACCTAAAAAATTGGATGAAGTGTTAATCAATAGTTCTTGATGATCTATGTATATCAAATTAAATATATAAATTATCAGAACATGGATTTAAATGCTTCAATGAAATTGGTAGTATGTCTTGAATAGGAAAGGATTCATATGGTATGAACTCAACCTTGTCCAAGAGCTTGAAAAATGAAGAGATGGGTAACAATGAAATAGATTTATAACCACAGTGACTTGTAACGGAAAATGAATAAGTGGAAATACCTATTAAAAGTACAAAGAGTTTCAAATTATTTATTCATTTGCTATTTATAATGCATGGTAATACATATACCTTTTTCCTTTTTCTCTAATTCTAACTCTTCTTATTCACGTTATGAAGTTTACCCTAAAAATTATTCTTTCTAGATAAATTTAATTTACCTTCTTTTTTTATTTTCTAATTCTATTTTCTTTATAGCTCTTCTCTTTCTAATTCATCCTTTTTCTATATTATTTTATTAAAGAAGTACAAAAGAGTTTTCATTAAACATGAACTCTTTATTTTGCTGATATTGTTTTAGAGACTAGAGGATGAGTTTGGAAGAAACTTTAGAACCAAAAGAGTTTACAGATAAGTCGAAAGGAAATTAAATTTTTTTTTTTTTTTCATTTTTTTTTTTCTCTCTCTCTCTCTCTTCTTTCTCTTTCTCTCTCTACCGCCGTCCCCATACATACAAGTTAGCAGTTGCAGAGAGAGAGTGGGGCAAGCTTGAGAGTTGAGAAACAGCGGCTGAAGCTTGCGAACGGCGAACCCGAACTTGAACAGCGGGCGATGGAAACTGAAAGATCTGGGTTTTGATTTTTTGAACAATCTGAAATGAGTTTGAACTTTTGATTCTTGCAGACAGATAGATAAAACTGAAATATATGGGTTTTGAACTTCTGATTCTTGTAGATTTTGTAGTTTGCAGTTGCACAGAGAGATGGGGGGGGGGGGGGGGGGGGAGTTCAGAGAGAATACAAATGGGAGGCGATTGGGGAGGTTAAAATGATTTGTCCTAAAAATAATCAAATATATAATATATATAATTTTTTTTTTAATAATAAATTTTCGGGAAAAAAAAGCAACTTGTCAACCCGTTCGAAAATATTCGGGCTAGGTTATGACCATAACCCGTGTTAGGTACAGTTCGAGATGGTCCAACTCAACCGGATTCGGGTTGAGATTGGGTTGAACCAATCCAACTTGCAGCCTAAGTTGAAGTAGCAAGAAAGATTGTGTAAGACATGAATTGGACAAATCAGCTGCTTGCAAATAAGTGTAACAGTATAAGGTTTTTTCGTTTTTATATTTCAGTTCCTTAAAGATTAAAGTATAGCCGCTTTCTCATTCCCATGTCTCTATGGTTTTACTTCTGAAATGATTGCTTTAATTCAATGTGAAGGGAATTCAATGGGCTAAAAGTGTTCATTCCTTTTATAAGTGTATTTTTTATTTAATTTTTTATATAAAGTTCGGTAGTTTGGAAAAAGGTGGTGTTGAGTTGAGTTGTATGTATTTAAAGTTTGGCAAATTGAACCGACTCTTTATAGCATAAATACAACTTTCTTCTTTTTCTTCTTCTTCTTCTTCTTTTTATTATTATTATTATTATTATTATTATTATTATTATTATTAAAGTAACTAATTACAACCATTCCTATTGATGTTATTTGGACATCAATTTACTGTAACAATGGTATGTATATATCAATCCTATTGATTTTAAATCGTGATAGGGGTCTTGACCTGGATATCATTAACCTTCTTCTTTGCTATCGAGTTACCAAAATCAGAACCAATGAAATGTATTTTCACTTCTTTCCCATTAAGAGGCGATCTATCTGTACGGACAAGCTCTCGTTTGAAAAGGGTTGGAGGCAAAACCTAATTCGGGTCAGTGGAAATTGGGAACTCCACTTGCTTAGACCTTCCTTATCCCGATCGCTTTGGAGAGTGTTCTGTCCTTCAATATAAGAAATTTAAGAATCATCCTACCGAATGCCACTGTGAATCCCGCCTTCCTCGTTTCTGTACTTTTCTTTGTAATTGCCTTCGAATAGATCATGACGAATTGATTTACAGTGTTTTTAGGGCCAGGCTTGACATTCTGAAGGAGAGAGTTCTGAATAACATCCCCTCAGCCACTGACCTGCTCACCTTTAACAACTTCTCTGACATATACGCCCTTGGATCCACAATGGAGAATATCCAAATTCCTTCTTTCAGCAGGAGGAGGCGTTCTACCCCCATTCCTTCAACTGCACCAACCATTATTGTGGCCTCCTCACCCGTCTTGGTTATGGCCCACTACCGAGCATCCGATCGTTGGGCCCTCTGCATCAACCTCTACTGAAGTTCAGCCTATTGTGCCGAACAATGAACCCTCTAACACTTTGACTGAAGCTTCCTCAAATGGTGCTCAGAATGTTGGGGGTTCTTCTCAGAATGATGAAGGATCTCCTCCCGCCCGAGCTGGCGTTTCAGAGAAGAGCTTGTGAAAAGGACCCATGCCTAAAGGTAGTCATGATCAAAGTGACCTCCCTCCAGCACGAAGGGCCCGAACATCTTTCAGGGTTACCAACTCTGTCCCTTCTCCTCAACTATCCATTCCAGAGGGTGAATCGGCTAGAACCTCCGGCTCTTCACCAACAGTGACCCCATGGCATCCCTTGTTCAGTCGTGAGGATGGGTCAGTTATTGCCCCCACAAACTCTTTGTTCAAAGACCCAGTCACATCATTTGCCTTCTATAGGGGTCTTTGGACCCCCAAAGATATTGAGGTTCTGAACAAGATGACCTTCAATGAAATGTATCAGCGCTTCCCAGCAGCTGTTGTTGAGGTATTTCTTCCTCTTCCTTCTATATATATCTTTTCCCATTCTGATTATTTGACATTTGTACTTGCCAGAACACCTTTGCCTTTGTACAGACTCTATTTGGGATGTTCACTTTCTAAAAGAGTATTGAGACCTTGAACAAAAAGATGAAATCCCTCTCAGCTGGCCTTAAAAGATCTGTTGACTCAGAGAGGATAACCGAGGACAAAAACGCAGAGCTGCTGGTTAAGCTGAACGAGTCAGAGAAGGAGATGGACGCTCTGAGTGATTTCCTAGAAAAGGCTTGTAAACAAGCTTGTTGAAAATCTCTGGACACATAAAGGACGCCCCTTGTCATCAAGGTGAAATCTAGAGTGATATGCAGTTCCTCAAAAATGATATATATATATATATATATATATATATATATATATTTAAGAAGCATATATACGGATACGAGACACTGACACTACATGGACATGTTGGCATGATAATTTTCTTAGAAGTAGCAAAATGCAGCTAAGACATGGCAATAATATATGTTTTTATATAGAAATTAATATATAGCATGGCAAATAAAAATTGTCTGGTTGTAATGTGAAATATATATAACTCATAAATCATGCAATTAGGATCAATCTCGTCAGATAGAAAAAGGCATAACAAGGACACAACAGAGATCATCAGACACAACATAATCCAATGACTTCTCATCTACTCCCATGTCCACTCCTTCAATAAAATGTTCCTTCTTTTGTTTTCTTTTTTTAAATATTGATCAAACTTTATATAATTTGTATTTAAATCTTTAAATTGATTTTATTATAATTATATATATATATATATAATTTTTTTTTTCTAACTAAAAGAAACATTTACTATGGAGATTCTTTTGTGTTTTGTGGGTAGCTTGAGACTATAGTTTTTGTGCAGTTGTTTGGGGCTACGCCCCCCTTTTTAGTGCTTTTCAGTGAATACTTACTTTTCAAAATAAAAATTAAAAATTAAATGAAACACTTCTCGAGCATTCATGCTTAGTTGGTTACATGTTATCACAAGTTTAAATGTTCATTCAACATTAAAATTTTATTTTTTTAACATGGATATGTTTAAGATGTGTCAAACATGTTGGGGAAGGTATTTGATGAAGTGTCGGTGCCCGACAAGGTCATAGTTTGATAGTTTTGTCACATCAGTTAGCCCCATGCCTGCTAGTGCACTGTTTGTTGGTTGTATATTTGACGTTCCATTATTAATTATTGGTTGACTATTTTTTTCAGATTTTTTGTCCTCGGAAGTGTTGGACATTAACAAAATTTGTATGGTAATGAAAACAATTGATAATGGTGCTGAAACTTGGATATAAACCGTAATATGTTGCACTTAATAAATTGTAGTGCCTTTTGGCTCTATGAATATTCCTTCTTTATCTTTTAAATCTTAATTATTTGACTTTTTCAGTCTATAGTCGTCAGAACATTAAGAGAGGATTATGTCACGTCCTGATACTATAAACTGAGCAAATTTTCCGGTAAATTATAAACCAAGTATTTGGTGTGTGATAAATATGAAGTTAATGATCATATAATAAGTTAAATACCATTTGACAACTCCTAATTCAGATGAATGTTCAGAGTAAAGTTATCCGTTACATGTCATAATCCAATGAATATTTGAAAATATTCAAAATAAAGATATCCATCACATCAAATTTGTCAGTGGTTTAACTTCAAATTAATTACACTTCACAAACCCTTATACTTGCAGTAACTTATCCAAATTCATGATTAAAGAAAAAGACTTAAACAATAATTTGTGTTTCTTTAATCCGTATTTAGAAGGCAGCTGTTTCGAGCTCCTTCAAGACTACAATTAACAATTTGAAATATATTGGGTTTTTATGGATTTCGGGGGTGTGACAAGATGGTATTAGAGCTCAGTTGGGTGAACTATTCTCAATTGTTGATGTAATGATATTTTAGTTTTGGAAACTCATTGGGATTTTTGTTGTGGCTATTAAGCAAGTATTTATCAATTGGGATCTAAAAGTATTTGGTTGTGTGTGATGGAAATTTCGATTCTAGACATTTATTTGGATTAGGGGTATAAGATGATATTTAAGGTAAAATATGATCGTTAAGTTAATAATATCTCTTATCACACGCCGAATGCTTGGTTAGCATTGACTCTTTTGGATCCCAGTGATAGGGGTTGGACAAAATGTTACAGCTTTTTAAAATCAATTTAATCATTCACCTTGTCATAAGTGTCTGTGGCAATGGTCATTTACATCTAAGTCTATCTCTGTTATCCTTTGAACAACTACGATGACAGAAAGTGATCTTAAAATTAAGAACTGGATTTTATTTCAGTTGCTGCTTCTTTTTTCTTTCTTGACACCATATCTTGCTGCACTGTACCTTTCTACCCTTTTGGGATATGGATATTCTCTCTCTCTCTCCGTCCTTTGGATTTTGAACTTCATTCACCCACACTTCCATTCTGTGACTATAAGTATACTAAGCTTACCCCAATCAATTAGTGTTGTTTATAGAAATATTTTTTTTAGTTATGTGCTATAAAATTAGTACTGTTTACATCCAATGACTTGTAAAATTGTTTGTCCTGGCTGGGAACCTTGCAGACCCATCTCCCTTCTGCGAACCTAGGACTAGCTGTGTAAAACATAAGATCATAAATATGGGACAAGTGGAGTTACAATTGCTTGTAGGAAGCTAGATTAACAATTTGATAAATGGATCTTACTCTTCCTGAAACTTCCTGAAATATCCTCCAAGCATTTATTATATGACTTCTTTTCATGTGCCATCTTTTCTGCATATCTGCCTGTCTTGTGTCATTATCTAGTGATTATTGTCGGTGTTGTTATTGTTATATATGTAACCCAATAATATCTGCATTTCAGTCTTTCCCTTTTGAGCTGAGGCGAGTTTGACAATGGCAGACTTACCACGTCATGTGAAAGCCTGCTTTGAGACTGGGAAACTTGCTTCCTTGGCAATTTTGGTCTCTAGTGGGATTGTGCTGCAAGTTTTGGTGAGTTTTATTCTTCTCTGTTAATTCCTTTGGAATACTTTTGTGCTGCCAAAGGCATTATTAATTTCTTACTTTTTCTTGCATGATGTGGCAGGCATGTGCTTTGTACGATAATTGGTGGCCAATGCTAACAGGTAGGGTGATGTTTGTTTTTAGGTTAAAATGCCATTTTGAGTCTCTTTTGTTATTATTTATCATTTTATGAAAAGGTACTCCTTTAGTAGTGGCCTTTAAATTTCTGTGTCTTCAATATAGTTACTTTATTACTTGGTTTTTGAATTCTTGTTACACAAAAATAAACTAGTATATCATGTCTTTTACTAGTACACCGAGGTTTAGTTAAGTCAAAAGGGCACCAAAAGGTGTATGTCCCACCTACACTACACAAGGTGCTGGGAGCGGAATATTAAGACAAGTGGCTGCAGACTTGAACTTGCATTTTCACGCTTATTGATTCAAGCTTTTATAAAGTTCTTTTAAGAAAGCAATTCAAGAGTGTTGATACGACTCTTCTACTATTTTGGATTGTTGAAACAATTAGATTCAAGATCTAATAGTTTTATCGACAAAATATACTCTATATAGACCAGGAATCATATATTAAGTTTAAAGAATAAAAATAGATGATTGTTTTCTAATAATGCTTGCAGAAATTTTTTCATCAAAATCCCGTCATATTCATCTCAGCATGGAGTGCTGGTACAGTATTCTGGCCGGGTATTTCTATTGTTCCACATTCTTTATAAGACAGAATGTAGATTTCCTGCTGGTCGTAAATCAAGCTTTTTTCTTCATGTGAAATTCTTTATTTATTTATTCGAGTTAATACTTGAAGGCAAACATTTCTCAATTGAGTTCTCAAATGCTAGATGTGAGGCTTGGATAGGTCTTGACTTCTCTGAGTATACCCAAGCTCGAACTGATTGAATATATCATGACTTTTCAAAATTTTGTTTTTAACACGCTTTTGTATGCCTAATACCTATGGAGATGATTAATCATGCTGAGTTGCTTTTTATTATCTAATAAAATAGATTGCTTAGTTATATGACCGGAGAAGAAAGAGATGTATTTGTAGAGAGAGACCTAATTGTAATATATTTGGTTTTCAAGTCTTAATATAGTTCTATATATATATATATGTATATATATATTTATGCATGTAGTTGTAGAGAAAGAAACCCAATTCTATATATACACAATTACACACAAATATGTATACAATAGTGAAGGATATGGGCTTAATTCTTAATGTATAAACTTCAATATATGTATTATGCATGTATTTGTTGAGGGAGATGAAATTCTAGACACGCACACAAACACACACACTCTCATATATATACATGTATGAATGTATACACAGTGAAGGATGTGGGTATCTCTCTAACACACCCCACCATTAAAGCCCTTAGATTTCTTTTTATTTATTTATTTTTTCTTTATCGTTAATTTTTTAGATTTGTATTGAGCAATAAAATATTTTGCTTGTTCGTGGATGATTGTGTGATATTTGATGTATTGATCAAGAAAATCTCTAGTATGTTCATGACTTGGAGATAGGAAGGAGTTTTAGAGAGAGACAGAGAGAGAGGGCATGTAAGAGAAAAATAGGTGTTAGTGAGAGGGTAAAAATGACTTCACAGACATTTCAAGGTCCTATTCGTCGTTTTAAGCCTGGAATTTGGCCACTTCAGAGTTGACCATGTCTGACTATTATTGAGATTCACGGCAGGGGTCAGTTTGTTATAACAGTGCAAACTAGATGGGGTTAAGTGAAAACTTTCAGAACTTAGCAGAGCTGCGGAGGTCTGTGTATATTTCCCTTATAGGGCAGGTCATTGTAATTATCCATTTGAGATTTGTCCAAAGTAGTTTCCGGATGTTGCTGTTGCCAAAGCAAGTGCTTCTGTGGATAATTTTACCAAACGCTTTACAGCTGTATGCTCTGATAGCAGCTGGTGCTGCTTTGGCAACGTAGGCACCCTAGTCTTTTAGGCAATTATAATATTGGAATAACATTTTTATTTGATAATATAGATTCTCTGACGGTAATACAACTATATTTACATCTTGCAGCGTTAATGTATGTGCTTCTTCCCATGCCTCTGCTGTTCTTTGGTGGGTTGGATACCTCTTCTTTTGTTTCCGAATCTGGAAATAGGTTAGATTATTTTTTTCTAAGTTGACTAATAAAATCATATCTTTCTCTCTGATTGTCTTGATTATGGAATTAAATATTAACCTTCTTACTTCCAAACAACCGTTGAAACAGCTGGATAAATGCTACTAAGTTCTTGACCGGAGCTTCAGCAATTGGCAGCATTGCTATACCAATTATCTTAAAGCACGCCGGCGTTATTGGGTGGGGAGCCCTGGCTATGGAGCTCTCATCCTTTTTTGTATTTGTTTCAGCAATAATATGCTATCTTCGGATGAACGATGATGATGATGGATACCGTATGTTCTGAGACATACCCAAGGACCTCTATTTTATGTGTAAAAATGGTATTTACTAGTGGTTCCATTGGAAAATGCTTTTGATTTGCTGTTGTGAGCATCACCTCCCATTTTTGTGGTTGTACATGCAGAAAACAATTGTATTTCTCTTTTCCTTTTCCTTTTATTGGGTAACATTATTTGTAAAGAGTGCATTCATTTTAGTTGAAATGTTCAGTAAAATTTAGTCGTGCAAGTACCTCTTGGATTCAGAATAGGATTATCCGGTCTTTGCAGAGTTTGGCGTTGGATTTTCTTATGCTTACTTCTCTACGATTGTTTTTGTTGAAATTCATACTGCAATTAAGTCGAGGAAATCGGTAGGGAAAGGAAGTTTGTGAAATCTAGCTGTGTGATTGTTCGCGTAAACATGGGGGACTCTGCATTGCTGTGTATTGAGAAGCAAAATACTATGTTCTTTGTGATGATTGGCATGGAGTTGAGAAGATCTTAAATAGGTTTCAACATTCTGGATAAACAGTTAATAAAGTACTTTCATTGAATAGTTGAAGTAGCAAGAAAGATTGTGTAACACATGAATTGAACCATCAACATTTTGGCCAGACTTTGATATCATTTACATACATGTTTGTTAGTTGATCTGTGGTGGTTATTAGCAAGTACAGCCTGGTACATTCCATGCCAAGCATTCTCATGCTAGATTTTATTTGTTCTCAATTGATGGCATACACAATGCCAGAAAGACTATCCTGAGCATTAGCATTTTGCTCTTCAATCCTACCTAAATCCTATCATCAAGATTGATGGCACACAAAAGTTGAAATATGTAGCATCAATCTAAGGGTAGCTCAAGTGGGTAAATCACTTGGCCATCTCAGAAAGTATTAGGTCTAACGTTTGACTTCTCTTGATTTAGCATATTTGTCTTGTTACTTATTTTTTCTTTATTTTTTAAATTATTTGCATTACACCCATTCAGAATTGAAATCCGGGCTCCGCTGTTGGCATCAGGATCTCTCAACACAAACACAATAAAACATTTAAAATGATCACCAATATAACTCTCGACACGAACATAACCCCTTTATTAAACATGTAAAATGATACGACCTGCAAAAGCCGTTTATTAAATGGGTCGTAAAATTCACATGATACCGCTAGAGATGGAGCCAGTATAGGATCGGGGAGGGGGGCACGTTCTGCCCCCTGGATTTTTTCCTTCCTTTATATATATATATATATATATATATATATATATATATATATATTTTATAATATGAATATATTTTTTGAATGAGATAAATTAATAAATTATATATATAGAATATATTTTCCTATACTCGATATGTTTCCTTAAATAATTTTTTCTTGTTTCATTATATTCTATATATGTAATTTATTAATTTACCTCATTCCAAAAATATTAATCTCATATATATCCACCTACTTCTCTTTATTTATATATATTCTATAAATACTAATGTACAGTGGCCCCCACCTCCCGATTTTTTCCTTCCCTTGCTATATATATATATTTTCCCTTGTATACTTTATATGTTTCATTAAATATTTTTTTCTTAAATCGTTTTATTATATTCTATATGTGTAATTTATTAATTTATCTCATTCCAAAAATTAATATCTATTTCTCTTTATTTATATATACTCTATAAATACTAATTTATAAAATTCTTTACCCACCTATAACCCCCCCGGGGTGCCGGCCCCCAAAACGGAGCCTTAGCAGGGCTGGCCCTGGCCCAAAGCGACCAAGGCGGTTGCCTTGGGCCTCAAATTTTAGAGGGCCTAATGAGGCCCATGGAGGATGGAAAAAATTGGTTGCCTTGGGCCACAAATTTTGAGGCCTATAGGGGATGGAAAAAAAGTAAAGTTAGGGCAAGTTTCAAACGACACAATCTGCTTCGACACGCCGCAGGGCGTAGCCTCCGCTATCGCCTCAGGTGACAAGGTATGTTCATCCTCTTTCTCTCTTCTCTCTCCTTTTGCATGAATCGATCTTTTATATATGTTTCTTTCTTTCGTTCATCTCATCATTTGATTTGTTCTAACTTTGGTTCGTTTGATTCGGGCCTTTACCTTTGTTCCAATAGTGAAAAGTAGCTAGGGTTTTTTTGTGTGTGTGACACTGTGTCTGATGGCTATCAAAAGCTGAATGAATATATTATGGTTCTCTTAGTATTTTAATAAATGTGTGCCTTTATTCTTGAAACAGATGCTTCTGAACTCTGTTGGGGATGTGTCTTAAAAGCCATTCCTCACGAAAAATGGACTGATGACACTCCATCATCCCCCATGATCCGAGCTCGCAAAGCTCCCATCTCAAAACGTCTTCAAAAAGAAGAGCTAATTTGTGGATATAATTCTGAAAAATTTAAACCAAATGAACAGAATTATATTATTTATGAAAAAGAACTTCTGGCAATAAAATTAGCAATCAAACGGTTTCATATATATCTTGCTCCAGAAGATTTTATTATTCGAACAGATAACCAAGCTGTTAAAGATTTTCTAATCAATAAACGAAATTGCTTAGACGGTCGTCGTTTAAAATGGTATAATGTTATTGCTCAATATTCTTTTGCTATTGAACATATCAAAGGAACTAACAATTTTCTTGCAGATTTCTTAAGCAGACCTCCGGAAATATCTAACAAAGATGTTTCTCTCCTCCTTCTAACAGATGGATGCGTTTCCTAAGCCAACGCCTGATAAAGATGGTTGGATCACTATTGCTAAAAAGGCAACTTCCAAACCAACTCCATCACAGCCACAAAAATGGTTTGTGGTGTTTGCAGGTCACCAGCCTGGTATCTACGAGAATTGGACCGACTGTCACAAGCAGCTTCGTTCCTTCAACGGTTCTTGTTTTAAAGCTTATGACACACTTATAGAAGCCCAAACAGTTTTCTATAATGTGGGCCAAGCCTCTAACAAATTGTTTTCAAAAAACCCAGACATTACAGAAATTAACAATTTCTATGATCCTGGTCTTCCAAACAATTTTTATAACGAAATAAATACTGTTTGGAAAGCACATAAACTTGGTGCTAATAAAAAATTCAGACAACATCTGAGTTCTCTTGCTGCTCTTATAGCTGAACAAACAGCTATGACAACTGAGCTTAAACAGCTCTGCATACAAAGTTGTCTTTCTATTGACTGGGAAAAAGATTTTTCTCTTCCTCAAATAAATTGTTTTCTTAAGCTTGCCCAGTTGATAGGAGAACAAGATTTTCCTTCCAATACGTTTGCCAAAATCAACCGTATTTGTCTCCTTGAAAAAGCCAGAGACATGTTTCCTCCAGATATCTTTCGGTTTATTTATCGACAAATTGAAAATCATTATGATATAATAAAAACCTATTATACCACTTACCATGAAGATATCAATACCTTTGATACTCTTTATAATGGAAAACATGTTCTTAAACTTGACTTCTTTATCATTCCAGGCCTCGACTGGTCTATGGACCCTGTTGACTGGGGATTAGTTAATCAACTTACCTTTTCCTCTCATGATTCATATCAGCAGTTTCCAGCTATGATAAGCGCTATGATTTATAAGGTTAGCCAACAGTGGCAGTACAGTCGTCACCTAACCTTCCGGATTTCTAGTTCCATTGGAAGTTACGAAAAAACTCGTTTCTTCCAACCTTATCAGATATGGTATCTCACACTCACCGGACACGATGAATATGAGCATAGCAAACTCTTAAATTCTGAGGAACTCGCCAACAGTCTTGATCCTTATTACTTTGAAATCCACAGTTTCTTACACCTACAAGAGACTGCTAGAAGAATCCTTGATGGATCCTATTTTCACCAGGAACCCATCTTTTATTGTTGTGATGGACGAAGACTCTTCATCACTACCATTCGTTGTTACTATGCAGAGATGGATGGTGAACAACTGGTCCGGACTGCTACCGAGTTTTTAAAAGATATCGTTAGACTCAGTCCCCTTGATATCCCTTCTCGGGTCAAAGATGGCGCTGAACGTCTTAATCTTGAATGGGACATTGCAGATGCACAATCGCCTGCCAGTACTCCTCCACTTGATGAATATGAACTCCATAATATCATCAATGCCATGGAAGGATAACCGACACTCTTCTCCACTCGACTGCAACCCTGATCCAGCACACGACAGAAGAATGTCTTGTCTACTTTTCCCCAAAGCAAAAGTAGCCGAAAGTTGTCGACACACTATGCATCAACAGTGAAAGCTGCCGACACACCTTTATCAAACAGTAAAAGAAAAGATTCCTTCTTATCTTCTCCGGAACTGTTTACCTTTTGTAATGTTATTTAAACCAAAGCCCCAGCAAGGTTTTGGATATCTGTTTTTCATTCTCTGTTTTTCCTCACTTGTTTTGAGGATTTTCATGTAACGTTTTCTGTTTGTAAAAACTACATGTGTCTTTCATGGCGATCGAGTCCATAATCTATGGCAGGCACTTTTTTGTTTCTTTTTCCTCTCCCTAATTCCACTCCAATCTCACAACAGCAGCAATCATATCCCTTTTCCTCATAAGTTTTTTGTTAAAATATATATGGAATGGGGTGTGCACATTTCAGTTATCAGGCAAAAAAAAGGTGTTTTTATGTAGTAACACTACATGTGTTGCAGCAACATCTGCAGCTTCTTGTTGGATTTATCATAGTTTATTCCTCTCTTTTTTGTAATTCTTATATCATAAGAGCCACTGTAGCCCTTCTACTGTGCTGAACTTTCATGTAATTTTGAGAGTAGGCTTTTTTTAATGGTCTAATTGGGAAGAAGCTCGTTGAATGTATAACTAGAGGCACCCATAACACACTTTTTTTCCTGGAATGTATAACTAGAGGCACCCACAACACACTTTTTTTTCTCCTTGGTGGTTTGTCTTATATTCCTTTTTTTGTTTTTGTTTTTTGGGTACCGATCAGATGCTAATAGGCTATATGTGGTTGACTAACCTGATTTGGTAAATATGCTCCTTTTGATCCTTCTAGTATGATGCTGTTGGATGAGCGCCAAAAGAATATAATCCAAATGACAAACAATCCAATGGTGAGCAGGACCAGGGCAGAGGGGAGTTTGCAGTTCAAAAGGATGCTTCAGCTCCGCAATCTGGTTTTGTGTGGGATGAAGCATCTGGATATTATTATGATGCTTCTTCTGCGGTCTATTATGATGGAAATACAGGTTTTTATCTTTGGATTTTCTTGAAGCCG